AAAAAAAAAAACACGTGTAATAATTGTCCACAGTCTTTAAGGAAAATTAATAAAACATAAAATGTCAATATAGAATCCAGAATAAAAACCTGTCATATACATAGCTTATTTACCAGAAAGTGTTATTTCAGATAAAAACACCTAATTATTAAAGACTCAAAAATTGATTAAAGACAGTGGACTGAGCATGTCTCTCTATTTTCACCCCAATCTTATAAAATTAGAAAAAAAAATACAAGAAAAAAATATATAAGAAGAACATTAACAAAATAAGAGACTATCATTAACAAATCAGAAAATTAAGGAATCCTTAGGGGAAAAAAAAACTCACATTAATTCAATGAAGGCTATGTGGAACAACAAGACCAGGTGACCATCCTCCTACCACAAAGCCCACCTCGAGATAAAGTAAGAACCCTAGGAATTTGGGTGGCATATGAGGTAGTGTATCAAATAGATTATTATTCCTAAGCGAGATAAACATCCTCTATAGCAAAAGGCAAGCCACTATGCCCACCTTTACCCACAGCAACTCCCACTCACTTCAATAATCAGAAGAATTAGATTATAATTCACATGTGGGAAAAGACGGATACTTATACTTAGATGAGTCAACAATCAGGTACTAACAATTTGTGAAGAAAAGCAAAACAATGAAAAAGAAAGCTCAAAATTAAACTATGAAAAAAACTAAAACCCAAAGAAAAAGAGTTAATAGAGCAAACAGAAACAGGTATTTTACTAAGCATAATGTTCCGACAGGAAACCAAATCCCTGAAATAGATTACCTAGAGCTCTCAGAAATTTAAAATTTGACAACTGAGATTTTTTAAATAGTAAAACAGACATATTTAAAGATTGAATTAGCAAGGGAGAAACAAATACATATATATATATATATTTAGAGAGACAGAGAGCTCTCCCAATTCAGGAGAAAGAACAAAGAGGTAGAAAATGTAAGACAAAAGTTTAAAAACAAGAGAGGCTTGAGATGGCTGACTAGAGGCATTTGCCCACTTACCTTCTCCACAAAGAAGAACTAAATTAGTGAGTAGATAATTACACTTCAAATAGATCCTCTAAGAAAGAACTGGAATTCAACAAAGATGTGTCAAGAAACACCTAAGGCAAGGAAGGAGAAGGAAGCTAGGCAGCCTGCTCAGGATAGGCTGAGAGCCTGTAAAGGCTCCCTAAGGAAGGGAAAGGGTAAAAGATAAAGCCTCAGCCATCCACATTCCTTCTGCAATCCTAGCCATTGTAGACTCCTTTAGGACCTGAGATTAACATAGGTAGCTGCCTGTAGATCTCACAAAGGCATTGCTCCAGAGAGGGAGTTCTGGGTCCCACCCACCCTTTAAGTCCTAAGCAGTGCCATTTTGTGAGCCCAGCCACCAGGAGACTACATCCTGCTCTGGGGCCCAACAGCCCCTGCATCTTCATATCCCTGGAGCCCCACTAACATCCCCTACCAATACCCACTGCTGAATACTGCCACCAAGACTGAAGTGTACCCCACTGGCAGCAACCCTGCCCCCTACCAACAGCAGGACTGTAGCACATCTTCTCGTGCCCCAGAGAAAGGCTACCCCTCCTGCAGCTGCTACTACTGGCTGCTGAAAAAACCAGTAGTAGCAGAAAAAAAAAAAAAACAGAAAACACCATCAACCCCATGTCACCCCAGCGGCAGGGCCATCACACATTTGCACACACCCCAAGGACAAGCTATCCTACTCACAGCCACAACCACTGCCACTGCTGGCTACCAGGTGAAGCCAGAGCCACTAGCAGCAACCTCATTGCCCCCAGCAGGGGAGGCACATGCCCTAAGTACAGGCTCAAAGACAGCTAATACCTGGGGCTGAAAACACATGCTCCTCAGAAATGTGCCTACAGCTGCTGGCACCAATAGCAATCCCCTCCTCCCTGGCAGCAGGGCCCCAGTACATTTGCGCATCCCTAAAGGCAGGCTCCCCCAGCTTACCACAACTGCTGCAGCACCCACCTGAGTGCTCCACCAGGGACCTAGGGATCACCCACCCCTGCCCACCAGAGCCAGCACCCATAAACACAACTGGGGATCCTGAAGATAGGCCCGCCATGACTATCCCTGCTCCCTCAAGTGCCTAAGTACACTTGTCCAAGAGCCTAGGGATCACACTGCCCCATGCACCACCATTAGCATCTAAGCACTCCTCCTGGAAGGCTGAAGAAGGGTCAACAAGGCCTGCCGCTACCATCAGAGCGGGCACTCACCCACATGTGCTGTCTGCAGGGCTGGGGCCTGGCCCGCAGGTCCACTGCAGCCAACACATTGCATCATTTTATTTCCTTCATAGCACTTATCCCTATTTATAATTAAATATTTGTTTGTGATTATTTGTTTTGTATGTCTCCCCAAGTAGAGTGCAAACCTCATGAGAACAATGACCATGTCTGGTACATTCCTCATTATGTATCCAAGACTAAATAAGGTAGAAGTATCTAAGCCTTAGTTCAATAGTTATTATATATGTAATAATCAAAGCAGAAGCAATAGAACATACTAGGAAGGGAATCTGTTATATAATCAAATTGAAAGCAAAGACGAATACAGATACGGAAAAATGAGTACAAGAATAGGACACATTTAGAGCAATAATATTAGACTGAATTGAAGGTGGGCAACAGCATGAAGCAGCAAAGAAAACTGTAACAAGTTAAGAAACTGGGAAAAAAATCACTTGCCAAACATTTCCTGTTGCAGTTGGCTTCAACTCACTTAGTATGCAGTACTCTCACTCTTTAAATGAACAATGACAAGATACCTGATATCTAAATAGTTTGCACTTAGGCAATGAGATGGCTCTAAAATTTGCCACATAGAAAATCAGATTTGTATTTTTAAAGAAACACTCTAGCAGCAATGTAGAAAATGAGCAAAAGAGATTGCTATCCTGGAAACAAAAGGACTGATTCTCAAGCTATTTTAACTATAATAGCACTGGTCAAAGATGTCTGACCTTAAAGATATAAGGAGTAGGGCAGGTTATATCTAAGCAATACATAGCTTAAAAGCGTTTTGAGGATTGAGACTGCTGAGGAAATCATGGTAGACTACTTTAACCAAAATGTAAGCCTAAGAAAATACCATCAAGGAAGAATGTAAAGTGTAGCCAGAAAACAAAGAAGAATGAGAGCTGCTGGGGTAGGAAAAAAGATTATTAAAGAAAGGCAAAGCAAACAGAAGGTTAGTAAATATAGCAAGGGATGACTAAAGATTAGGACAAATGGGGGTAATCTGAAGCACGGTTTGATGATTAATCTTAAAAATAACAATTTTTATACCATTATGTTCTTTACATGCATCCTGAAACTCTAAAACCAAGAAAGAGAAAATGAGAATTGAACTATTCTAAGACTGTGGAAATCAAGAAAAGGAAAAGATTCAAATGATAGTTAAGAGTTAGAAACTTTTAAGCTAGTTATATTTTTATGAGTTAGGTGTTAAGGAGCACCAAATAACAAATTGGCAGTGAAGTATAAGGGAAAGAGAAAAGTACAGAATATCCTTCAAGATTTCTGGTTTGGAGACTATATTTTCAGCCAAAGAAGTTGAGTACCTATTTCATTGTTAATGCTATTCTCCTACACATGATGCTTCCTACACTCCTTCATCCTCTATGACTATCCGAAGCCTTAAAGTCTATCTTTAAATTTAAATCTACCTTTTTCATAAAGTTTTTCCAACTATGCAGTACACATTGTTATCTTAGGCTTCCTCTTGGTATCAGTATTAACACACCTCCACAATAAGAAATCTATAAGTATTCACCCCAAATATATAAGTATGTATAAAATACAAATACATATTTATATTTACATAAATGTATAACCAATGTTATACATTGTTTATAAATATAAATTTATAAAATATAAATATGTATCATATTCATTTTTAAACATATTTAAAACATAAAAATAAATAAAAATAGAAATTCTAATATTTTATTCCCTTTTCCTAATGGAAATTTTGCTCACCCCCTCATTTTGGACACCATTATCTTAGGGTTTTATGTATTCAAGCTTTCTCCAACAATGATCAGAGATTTCTCAAAAGGATGGTATTTTACTTCTATACATTCCTACAATATCTAAGGCAATACTAAAAAACACACAAGGTTCTATTTCACAATTCTAGAATACTTTTTTCAAATTAGTCATCATATATTTCTCTACTATGAGAAAATCACATGATACAATTGCATATTTAATACGACAAATAGCAGCCACTTTATTTCAATATTAGACTGAATTGTTACAAATAAATATCCATTAAAGACATTTTAAGAAACAAAATTATTCCCTAGCCTAAGACATTTAATTAAACAATTCTTTTTTTTTTTTTTTTTTCCGAGACGGAGTTTCACTCACATTTACCCAGGCTGGAGTGCAATGGCGTGATCTCGGCTCACCACAACCTCCACCTCCTGGGTTCAGGCAATTCTCCTGCCTCAGCCTCCTGCGTAGCTGGGATTACAGGCACGCACCACCATGCCCAGCTAATTTTTTGTATTTTTAATAGAGACGGGGTTTCACCATGTTGACCAGGATGGTCTCGATCTCTTGACCTCATGATCCACCCGCCTCGGCCTCCCAAAGTGCTGGGATTACAGGCTTGAGCCACCGCGCCCGGCCCTTAATTAAACAATTCTAAAAAAAGCAAGTATGGGTATATATAATGATCTAAAACAGTACTTTATGCTCCAAAGAGGGAATAAAAAGTAGAATGGTTTATATTATTTATATTCTAATTTAAAGTTATGCCAAGAAGATAAAATTACTTGCATTTGATAGTGCAATTTTAGATGAGAAAGGGCTAATCTACAGTAGAAAATTAAGCATCACAAAAAAAAGCATAAATATGGTTCAAAAATTCAACCAAACAACCTACTCGTGAAATGTAAAACACACATTTCAAATACTAGACAATATTTTAGTTGACAATTATTCTAATTATACAAGTATTTAAATCTAAGAATAAAATATTTGCCAATTCATGAATATTTTTAATTTATAAGAAATGTTTTTTCGGCCGGGCGCGGTGGCTCAAGCCTGTAATCCCAGCACTTTGGGAGGCCGAGGCGGGTGGAACACGAGGTCAAGAGATCGAGACCATCCTGGTCAACGTGGTGAAACCCTGTCTCTACTAAAAATACAAAAAATTAGCTGGGCATGGTGGCACGTGCCTGTAATTCCAGCTCCTCAGGAGGCTGAGGGAGGAGAATTGCCTGAACCTAGGAGGCGGAGGTTGCGGTGAGCCGAGATCGCGCCATTGCACTCCAGCCTGGGTAACAAGAGTGAAACTCTGTCTCAAAAAAAAAAAAAAAAAAAAAGAAATATTTTTTCACTAAAATTAGAAAATAATTTGTTGTTTGTAATTTGCCACAGTTATAGACATGAAGTTTTAAGAATATGAAGCAGAGGTTATTAGAATTATCTAATTACATGGTCATAAATTCACAAAATAACTACTGTAGAGAATGTCTCTCCCTTTTGGCCATGAAAGTTGTTGAATTTTAATAACACTTTATTATAAAATAGGATCACATTTTCCTATGAATAGTACATAATCTAACATGACAAACCAATGAAATTTTAAAATTCAATTAAACAACAACAGACATTTCTCACTAAGAATTATTTTCTTCCTTCAAATATTAAAATGCAAATATTATCAAAGAATCTCTACAGGCAAATGACAGAGGGGAAATTATATTTTATTTCAAAACTGTTTATGATTGTATAATCAGCTAATATTATTAAAGTATACACATTATTATCTAAGTCTTACCTAGTTCACTTGATTTCTTTTGAAGCTCCATGGTAAGTATTTTCAATTGATCTTCATTTTTTTCCAATCTTGTAAAATATATCATTTTCAATACAAAATATTATTTTAGTCAGAATTCATCTCATAACTAGCACTGGTGCAACTTAGCAACTGATATATCTTAGAGTAGATTCACCCACTGGATTGTTAAACATTAAGTACCTACTCTGTGCCATATAGTGTAACATTTTAAAATAAAATATTACTATTATAAATACATAATTGTATATTACATCTATGTAATATACATAGATATACCTTAAAGCTTATGATATAAGTTGTCGCTTTCTGTTGATGATAATCAGATTAATGCATCATAGAACTTTGAAAGAGATTACATATGTAACTACTATTATACTGATTTCTGCCTTAAGAACAATATAACTATGAGAACATGTATAATTTGCTTAACTTCTCTGGCTTTCTGCTTTCTCAAAGTATAAAACTGAAGTAATAGGGATAGATGCATTTTAGGTAACTTACCATAAAAAAATGAAAAATCACTTGGATAGGTCAATCAAAGATATATAAATTAGGAGAGCTAGAAAAGCTAACTTTTCTCTCACCATGCACAAGCAATGGAGAAAAAATATTGCTAGGCCCAAGCTATGGCTTCAGAGAGAAACTTGCTCTCCTTTATCCTACCAAACTTAATTAACCCTAATGCTAATGAGACAAAAAATAATTACCTAGGCCTCCTAACACAGCTTTATTTAAATATTCCCTTAATATAAAGTAGTGAAAAATAGAGTCTTTTTCACTCTATTTTTTAACTCCAATGAAACTTTTAAAATATTTTCCCACTTTATACATAAGACATCTGACCACAGTTGTTATATGAATTACACATCAGTTGGCAGTGCATAGAAAATGGCACTGAATATTTAAAGTAAAATTTTTTATTCATTTATTTTATTTATTAAAAATAATAAATATTTTACCTTTGCTGTTCTGTTCTCAGTAATTCTTTCAAGCTGCAGATAGTAGTTTCAAAGTTAGTAACCACAAATGAATGAGCAGTTCTAGCTTTATTAGATTCTTCCATTTGAGCTTCTTTTTCTTCAGTTAGCTGACAAATTGTTTTCGTTGCTTTCTGTAAATCTTCCTCTAAAGTATTTTGAGTACTCTAAATGAAATAAAGTATAAAACAAAGGCAATGATCCAAAGGCCTCAACCAAAAAAGCTGAACTCATCTGCTTCCACACATTTACTGCCCCATTCCAACCCCCATATTTTCCTAGCTATTATCCCTCCTCCCCACCCTGAAATGCCCAGCCGTTACTCTTATTTTAATTCACCATTCTCCAAATCCCACCTACAGTTCTAACTCCTCTATGGAGCCTTCCTAGCCAACCCAGCCACACTGTTCTTCCAATTCTTAGAACTATTAATTTATTATCTAAACCACCCTGTTGGCACCTGTCCAGGGTCTTGGATTTTAATTATACTCTTGATGTTTTTATGCAATGTCTCTACACTATAGCATTTTGTAGACTAGGATTGTGTCTTCTCTATCTATTTGAAGCTCTAGGTCCTTGTACCTTGTATTAGTATTTAATAAATATTTGTTGACTGATAGTATGAAACTTATTACACACTAAACAGTTTTTAAATCATACCACATTTCTTTGCAATGACACTTTAATATCTTCTAGTTCTTTAGTCAAATGATGCTGCTTCTCAATTGATTCTTTTAGGTTTTCACTCTGTAATTCTAAAAGAGAAAGTTGTAAATAGATAGTACTTAGTAGAAGATATATGCCAAGAAAATTAATTATTATTTGTAACAATTAGTCTTTTTCCTCCATTAGATAATAGTCAAAAATGAGGGGGAAATATGCAAATATAGACACACAAATATTGGTCATCATCAAGCTTTATTGACTTTTCAAGACTTTTATCTCCCAGGAACTCAAAAATAAATATTTAAGGATTTACATTTTTTATAATAGCAAAACATTAGAAACAACCTAAATATCCAAAAGTAGACAAATTATGGAGGTACATAAATGGGATGGTATACTATGTAGTCACTGAAAATAATACTACAGATTTTATTGATGGATTACTAATTTGGATATTCATAAAATATAGAAAAGAGTGGGTTTAATATTTAAACACTATGTGCAAAATAAAAGGATACACACTAAAATATGAAAAGTAATTTATCTCCTAATGGTAAAATTATTCATGATTTTATTTTCATTATTGATTATCTTGACTTTTTTATTTTTCAAAATATTCTCTTTACTTATTAAATGATGAATAAATGCTTTTGACTCCACTTAAGAGACCATTTTTACTAAATACTAAGTCTCAAATACAAGTCTATATACTTTATATGTGCGCACTCATTTTCAAACATCATAAAAACAATAAGGGAAAAAAGAATTTCATTATATTCTCTGGATTCAAATTATATGATTGCCTCTTACTAAGCTACCTGTCCTTGGGCATGATACTTAACCAGTCTGACTACTTTTCCCATCTTGAATATTAGAATAATGGTCATTATTCATATTATGAAGAGTTCCCTGCTGTTAGAAATAAAAAAGATAATTTAACTTAAAATGCTTAAGCGCAGAGTCTAATATGTAATCAATAAGTGAAACCTGCTATTATGATGATGCTAATGATGATATATGGTAGAAACTGGACCTTAATATTCACGATATTTACAACATATTGATCAGGCAGGCAAATAAACAGTAATCATGCTGATGGGTACTCACTAGAAGTTCTGGGAGTTTACATAGAGGGAGCACCTAAGCCAAATAAGATCAGGGTTGGAGGTATGGGGAGACAGAAAAATAAAGTTTAAACAAGACTTCCAGAAAGTAGCAGCTGAGTTGAAACATTTGAAAGACAGTAAAAATTAGCCAAGGTAATGGGAGTTAGGACAGAAAAGATCATGGGCAAGTATAAAGGCATGTACAAAGGAAAACACAGAAGAGATAGAATGACACATTCTGGCATCTAAAGAAAATGTATCTTAGGAGTATAAGGCTTAAAGTATAACAGATAAGTCACAAGAGATATGATTGGAAAGATAACAATGACAAGATCATAACAGGACTTATATGACTTATTCAGAGTCTTCTGATTCATAATTCATGAAGACAATACAAAACAATGAAGGATGTTAAGTAATAGAAGTATGTGGCAAGTTTATATTTTTAAAATTCCATTCTGAAAAAACTACATAGAATAAAAGGGTCAATGGTCCAACTCTGGGGAAAAAATAGAAAAAGTAAATCTGGAGAGAGGGAAATGTTGACTATTGTGGTGTCCATTATGATACTATTTCTTATGGTCTAGATGGTGATAAATGTCTCCTGTGGAAAATCATAAGCACAAGCTAGCCCTTAGGTATGTATGGGAACTGAATGTATACGCCAAAATGTTCAAAAGAGCTCCAAGCCAAAATTTAGTTTGAAGTTCCCTAGGATTCTAGAAAAAGCAATATGAAAATTTTCTCCATAAAAATATACTGCTAATCCAGGCCTTAAAGAATTTCCACAGATAAAGTTACATGACCTCACACTCAACAAACACAACAGGAAACAAAGCACAATGAACAAAGTCAGCAAAATGAACAAAATGCCACCTTAGATCTGCAAAGATTTCAGATTTTAGAATTATTGGCTGTGAAATTAAAAAATAAGTATTATCATATACTTTATAAACTAAAGGAAGATATCAGTAATCAATAAAATACTAGAAGTGATACATAAATTTGAAACTGAAAACTCCAAGGGGGTAATGATGAGCTTTGCCATGTAAACACTCCTCTAAAAGGAAATAAAATTTCAAGATCAAATATTAAGAATATTAAAGCATTAAACTCCTGAAAAAATAGGAATTTGCCAGGCCAAAAATGAAGAGAAAATAGAAACCTATAGAATTAAGTAACCACAAAACTTGTTTTTGCCAGAGGACATTTACAGACCCTGGCAAAGTTGGTCTTTTGGTTTGAAATACAATGGGATAAAGAATTTAAGATCTATGAAAACCCAAAGGTAACAGAAGGTAGAGGGAGTCTAAGAAGTAAACTTTTGTACAATAAATTGGGACACTTTTGCTGTAAGGAATAAGCAAAAGTAAAACAACTCACAGGCAGATTTGCAGCCCAGGTTCAAATCACCTGAGTGGTTCGGGACACCCCAAGCCTTCAAGCTGACTTAAGATTGTCCCAAATGGATAGAACTACTGTGTACATGGGAAAAAAAAAAAAAAAAAAAAAAAAAAAAAAAACTCAAAAAAAAAAAAAAAAAAAAAAAAAAAAAGCAAATCCTCCCAGGTGGATGTTAAGTGATCTGCATACTAGGCAGGCCTTAACTTATACCTACAAGTAATTTTTTCAAGTTAAAAAAAGGAGCATAAAGTCAAAAACAACAAGGCACACAAGAAAATAAGGCACTTTGACTAAAAACTATCATAAACAAGACAGAATGAGAGTCACAAACATTTAAGATAAAAGATGATCAGAAAAGGACTATAAAATAGCTATTGTTCGTATATTTAAAGAAAAGACAACCTAGAAAATAAGTAGAAATAGAAAACTACATAAAGTAGAAGAGCAGGTTAGAAAAAGAAGTAAGAATAACATCTTAAAATAAACATCTTAGTAACTAAAAATAAAATGGAGGGGATTTCATAATGTGTGAGAAATAAAAGAAGAAAATTAGTGAATTACAAGATAAATAAATAGAAATTATCTAGAATAAGGTATAAAAAGGCAAAACTGTTGAAATAGGAAAGAGATTAAGAGTCAAAGAAGAGTTAGAAAATTAATGTAGGTTTTTATTTTGGTTTCTGGTTTGGTTTTTTGTGGTGGTTGTTTTTGTTTTTTGGGGTTTGTCACCCAGGCTGGAGTGCAGTGGAGCAATCATAGCTCACTGTAACCTCACACTCCTGGGCTCAAGTGATCCTTCCACCTCAGCCTCTCAAAATGCAACATGGGTTTTTTTTCTTCAACATTTTTTTCTTACTCAGAAGACGAGGAAACAGAGAATGAATACAATATCTGAAGAGATTGTTGTTGAGAGTTTCCAAGAAACAATAGTAGTAGATAGTAATTTAAAGATTTAAGAAGCTATTAAACAAAACTAAGCCTGTACCTTAACATATCATACTGTAAATGCTTCAAAGATGAAGAACATCTGAAAATCCATAAAAGAGGGAAAAGATATTACTAACTTCATAAAATCAACAAAGCCATGCATGGTGGTTCAAGTCTGCAATCCTAGGACTTTGGGAAGCCAAGGAAGGAGGATCATTTGAGCCCAGGAGTTTGAGGCCAACCTGGGCAACACAGTGAGACCCTGTCTCTATAAAAAATAAAATAAAATTAGCCAGGTGTGGTGGCATGTGCCTGTATGCCAGCTACTCATGAGGTTGAGTTGGGAGGATCACTTGAGCCCATGATTGCACCACTGTACTCCAGCCTGGGCAACAGGGTGAGACTCAACCAAAAAAAAAAAAAAAAAAAAAAAGAAGGGTAGGGGAGGGAAGCGGAGGGGAGGGGAGGGGAGAAAGAGAGAGGGAGGAAGGAAGGAAGGGAGGGAGGGATGGAGGAAGGGAGGAAGGATACTTTCCATGTGCTAAAAAAAAAATGTCTAGAAATAACATACGGTGTGCCAACCTAGAAAGACATATCGTGAAAACATATCCTTTATGGATGAGAATGAATAAAAAAAATTTCAGACAAATGGAATCTATGACAGCCAATCACAAACATATTCTCACTAAAGCAGATTCTAAATATTCCTCTTTAAAACAGAAAGAAAATGATCTGAATGAAAAGTTTAAGATGCAAAAAAAAAAAAATGAAGAGCAAAGAAACTGAAAAAAGTACATGGGTAAAACCAAATAAATATTGTCTGTATAAAACAGTAATAATAATGTCCTATCTATAGAATTAAAATACACATATTGTAGCACTTTTCACAATAACAGCAATATGGAATCAACCAGTGTTCATCAATAGATGACTGGATAAATATATATATATACAAATCGGAATACTGTTCAGCCATAAGAAAAAATGAAATCATGTAAAATCTGATTGTTGTCTCCTTAAATTTTTGATAATTAATACTCTAGAAAAAGAAAAAATAAAATAAATAAATAAATATAATTAATACTCTTTAGTAGCCAACTAAATGGTTACAAATGGTTATTTTGCAAGTGACAAAATGAATTAGGTAATAACAAGTAAACATTAAAAAGAAAAACAGCCGGGCGCGGTGGCTCAAGCCTGTAATCCCAGCACTTTGGGAGGCCGAGGCGGGTGGATCACAAGGTCAAGAGATCGAGACCATCCTGGTCAACATGGTGAAACCCCGTCTCTACTAAAAATACAAAAAATTAGCTGAGCATGGTGGCGCGTGCCTGTAATCCCAGCTACTCAGGAGGCTGAGGCAGGAGAATTGCCTGAACCCAGGAGGCGGAGGTTGCGGTGAGCCAAGATCGTGCCATTGCACTCCAGCCTGGGTGACAGAGTGAGACTCTGTCTCAAAAAAGGAAAGAAAAAGAAAAACAAAAATTAGCTGATCATAATTAATTTAAATGACTATTCCAGGCAGGATGGAGTAGCTAGTAGCATGCCAGCTCTAGCTGGAAACAACCAGAAGAGACAGAATGGAATAATAGGACTAAAAGGGCTGATTCCTAAAAGAAAACTGCTGAGAAGTGAACTGATAAAGTACAACTGACATCTGCTGATCTGGGCATGAGAAAAAGACTAAAATGCTGTCTTAATCCAGGCAGAGGGCTGTTGCTAAGGTACAGAAAAATCAGCTTACTTTTGAGAGGTCTCAAAGAGCTGAAGAAACAAAACTGAAAACTTGAAAAGCCTTATATACTTGGCCAGTTTTCTTTCATTTAGCTCAGCCTCTAAAAGGATTTAGATAATCAGCCCAACACACCCTCAATTTCTCTCTAGCAGAGAAAAGACATCATCAGGAAGCTCCAAGATTTTTCTTATTACAATGTGCAGAATTTAATTTAAAAAATTACTGGGCACACCAAAGGAAAAGAACAAATACCCAAACAGCAAGATAAAAAAGAAAAAGAAAAAAGAAAGAAAATCAAGTAGCAGTTGCCAGGAGTTGCAGGAAGAAGGGAATGGAATGTTATTTTTTAATGGGTACAAAGTTTCCATTTTGCAAGATGAAAAGAGTTCTTGGATGGAGAGTTCTTGGAGAAGATGGATGGTGGTTATGGTTGCATAACAATGTGAAACATACTTAATGCCACGGAACTGCATATTTAAATATGATTAACATGGTAAATTTTATGTTACACATATTTTACCACAGTTTTTAAAAAGAAACAATAGAAATAAACCAACAGATGAGACACATATTGAAAAAACAGAGAATAGGTTCAAGCAGCAGCTTCTCCGCTCCTTCTGGAATCTCTCCCTGGTTCAGCCCGCCTGCCTCCACTCCTGCCTCCACCATGTCCATCAGGGTGACCCAGAAGTCCTACAGGGTGTCCACCTCTGGCCCCAGGGCCTTCAGCAGCTGCTCCTTCACGAGTGGGCCCAGTGCCCGCTCAAGCTCCTCGAGCTTCTCCCGAGTGAGCAGCACTGACTTCCGCGGTGGCCTGGGTGCAGGCTATGCGGGGGCCAGCGGCATAGGCCCGGGAGGCATCACCGCCGTCACCATCAACCAGAGCCTGCTGAACCCCATTAAGCTGGACATGGACCCCAACATCCAGGCCGTGCGTACCCAGGAGAAGGAGCAGATCAAGACCCTCAACAACAAGTTTGCTTCCTTCATCGACAAGGTGCGGTTCCTGGAGCAGCAGAACAAGATGCTGGAGACCAAGTGGAGCCTCCTGCAGCAGCAGAAAACGGCTCAGAGCAACATGGACAACATGTTTGAGAGCTACATCAACAACCTGCGGCGGCAGCTGGAGACTCTGGGCCAGGAGAAGCTGAAGCTGGAGGCAGAGCTTGGCAACATGCAGGGGCTGGTGGAGGACTTCAAGAACAAGTATGAGGAAGAGATCAATAAGCGTACAGAGGTGGAGAATGAATTTGTCCTCATCAAGAAGGATGTGGATGAAGCTTACATGAACAAGGTAGAGCTGGAGTCTCGCCTGGAAGGACTGACTGACGAGATCCACCTCCTCAGGCAGCTGTATGAAGAGGAGATCCGGGAGCTGCAGTCCCAGATCTCCGACACCTCTGTGGTGCTGTCCATGGACAACAACCACTCCTTGGACATGGATAGCATCATCGCTGAGGTCAAGGCGCAGTACGAGGAGATCGCCAACCGCAGCCGGGCTGAGGCGGAGAGCTTATACCAGATCAAGTATGAGGAGCTGCAGAAGCTGGCTGGGAAGCACGGGGATGACCTGCGGCTACGAAGACTGAGATCTCCGAGATGAACTGGAACGTCAGCCGGCTCCAGGCCGAGATTGAGGGCCTCAAAGGCCAGAGGGCTTCCCTGGAGGCCGCCATTATAGATGCTGAGCATCGCGGGGAGCAGGCACTCAAGGATGCTCACGCCAAGCAGCAGCAGCTGGAGGAAGCCCTGCAGAAGGCCAAGCAGGACATGGCACGGCAGCTGCGTGACTACCAGGAGCTGATGAACGTCAAACTGGCCCTGGACATCGAGATCGCCACCTACCGCAAGCTACTGGAGGGCGAGGAGAGCCGGCTGGAGTCTGGGATGCAGAACATGAGCATCCACACGAAGACCACCAGCGGCTATGCAGGTGGTCTGAGCTCTGCCTATGGGGGCCTCACAAGCCCCAGCCTCAGCTACAGCCTGGGCTCCAGCATTGGCTCTGGCGTGGACTCCACCTTCAGCCGCACCAGCTCCACCAAGGCCGTGGTTGTGAAGAAGACTGAGACCCGCGATGGGAGGCTGGTGTCTGAGTCCTCTGAAGTCCTGCCCACGTGAACAGCTGCAACAGCCCCTCCCAGCCTGCGCCTCCTGAGGCTGCCCCAGAGCCCGGGAGGGAAGTTGCTGTACAGGGGAGCACAGGGAATGGGAGCCCCATCCGACGCTCAGCCCTAGCCCTCAGCCCACCCGCGGGGAGTTTACTGCCTGGGGACCCCCCTTGCCCATGCCTCCAGCTGCAAAACAATTCAATTGGCTTTTTTTTTTTTTTTT